AACGGGCGAAAGAGATGAGCCCTTCTAGTCGAATTAAATCATCCTTCGTCTACCCTTTTGTTACTCGGGATAAGTAACGAGTCGGGCATACTGCCGTCTCGGTGGCTGTAACATCGCACGGATACACGCGAAATACTTTATAACCCGACACGATACGATCGAGCTCGTTACCTTTAATAAGGTCGACTCGCGGGGCATAAAATCGCGAAGGCATAATAACGGCGTCGGGCGAAAGCGGGCCCGCTATAGCAACACAATATGGCGGTTGTAGGTGGATGTGCGATGCATCATCACTTGAAATACTCCGCTATCAACGTTGCGTCGTTGCGCGTGTGCACGACGTGTGCTAGAAGTAAGATGCGTGATTTAGCACTCGTCAAAATCGTGCTGCTTTGGTTTTAGCGCCGGCGGCGTCTAAAGCCGCTCGTACATTCTCGTGTATTAATTAACTCATAGCTAACTATGCCGCTTCTCGCACAAAATCGCGCGAAATTAATCCGTTTGTGCGCTAATCGCAATAATGATAGGAATATTACTCGAAAAGACGGTGAGTAAAATGGGCCGATTTTAACCTAAAAAACATAAAATTATATGTATAACTTATATTAGACTTTTTAGGCCCATTTTATTCACCGTCCTTTATCAATCATTTTGTATATGACACTCACATTCATGATGAATGACTGACGATGACGGTGGACGCTGTGGATGATCGGTGACCATGATGATAGCAGGATAGATGACTGGCAACGATAATAATAATGATGGCAGAACAAATAGCCGACGACGACGATGATGATGACAGGGCGAATGGCCAGTGATGATAGTGATGACAGAATGATGACGAACGTTCCTTTCAAATAGATGCAGCAAACTCTGAAATCAAACAAGAAATATTTTAATAAAGCTTAATATTATACCTTAATATTTTGAAGAAATTTTCAATGAGAAGGGACACTGTATATGGAGAAAATATAATATAGTTTCTTTTTCATATAAATTCTCTTCAATTCTGCCAAATTTCTAGTAATGCAAAAATAAATTGTCAGTAAGATCTGTCTTCCTAAAGATCGTAATAAATTTTTAATAGCACATTTCAGTTCCTAAAATATAAATAGTACATATGAAATGAAAGGATAATAAATTACTATAGATATTACTACAGATATTACGTCAATCTATTTCTCAGTTACAAAATCCCATAGTAAATAATTTTTATTATAAAATTCTCTCCGTGTATATACTGATTAGAAAAGAATAAATATCTAATTTCTGAACTGAGGCTTGTTGAACGTTGTCATTTTAATAATACTGTCGCTTGAGAAATCATTATGGCTAAAAGACAGATGGTCCAGCAAATGAAGGAGCGCGATGAGATCAAACTCATTATTAAATTTGATTTTGCGTCTCGCAATCACCGTAAATAATCGCCCACGTTTAACGATATGGTGGCTTATAAATTTCGTACGGCTATTACGCGCGCGCGAGTCACTTAAAATACGATGATATAAATTAAAAGACTGCCGTGTAACGATTGATTGCAGATCACTCCTTCTTTGGACTCCGTGTCATCTTTCTTTCTCTCTCTATTCTTTTATTTATTTCCTGCCCCGTCTCTTGAATACTTGTCGCTTATTAATAATCATGGTGCGTCCTCGAATATCTAAATCTAAGAAAAGCGCCGTCAAAAACAAGCGTCAAGTGTCGATTGCTCGTCTGCTCGCGCAGAAATCACGCAGTGATTCGAGCGAGAATAAATTTCAACGACGACACTATCTTACGTCGCGCGAAGATAATCTGTTCTTGTTTTACTTGCTGCTCCGCAATATTTTCAGACGTTAATAAGTGCATGAACGACGCGACACACGCGCATGTCTACGAGAGAGCCGCGTATACATATATAAATAATATGCGGCGCAAATAGATTGAGGCCTACTCTCGCCGTTCGCATTGCCGTTCGGCATGAACAACGACTCTTCGGTATCGCCATGAGCCGTGCCCTAATATGGAAGCGGCGCTCATTTGGCGCGTTCACGTTTTACAGCTGAAATGAATTTATGGAAAGGCCACCTCTCTTTCCTCCGCCCATCGGCGAAGCGAGAGAGAGAGAGAGAGAGAGAGAGAGAGAAAAAGAGAAAGAAGCGGCCGCCGCGGCAAACGCCGACGAAACGATAAATTTACCCCTTACCGGTTCTTCCGACGCTAAATAGATGACCGCGCTGCCGTCCTTTGACATAAACACTCGGCATAAATTCATCAACCGTTTGACCGATGCACAACGTCGTCGTTTGTGTCTCCGTGTAAGATCGCGGTTTTCTCCTCGACACGACCCGAAGCGGCGAAATGTCATTTTTGCGCGTAACTTACGAAAATGGGTTAACTTCTGCCGATTCGATACGGAAATTGAGAAATACGCGCGCTAAAAATCCGACACTGTCCGGCCGAGGTGAGGACGCGGCGGACATCTTGCGATTCCAGTAATAACTGAATATAGCGAGAATTCAGTCAAACTCACGAGCGCCAACTTCGCAGAGGCGACGTGTAAACGTTCTCGAACGTCACGTATAAAAGACTCGTGTAAAAGACTCGAAATAATTTCTTCCACTTCCAACTAGGGTATTTTAGGTCGGGCGCATTGTATATCTACATATTGTATAATAACTGTTTGGTTGTGAGAAGAATCCGCAATTTAGCCGCATTAAATGCAACGGTTTTATACGCGATGAAAATTAGACTATATTACTGTTGCCGAATATGACCGAATATGACCGAGTTGCCGATTTTTTTCAAAACCAATAATCATGATACAGAAATATGTAGATATGATGCGCCAAGATAACCTAGCCTGAAATAGAATTATTTCATTATCGAAGTCTTGTGTGGACAATGCGTCATGGCGAGCACCGGCGAATATCCACCAACAATAAGAGCGCCGAAGATGCACACGACTATTACGCAGCAGCTTCGCACAAGCAGCTACGCGCAACGAATGTTTCACAATACGCAGCAGACACAAAACGTAGAATTGACTTTCAAAACTGAAAGTCGATTGATGGCAAGTCGCCAAGCGACTGATTCAATTCCATTTTTTGATACCTTAAAAACGCAGGCTCCGATTGCTCCAACTGTCAGCTCTCTCGCCGAGGACGAGCTCATTGGACGATTTGAACGCGCCGTTGGGACGTGACGTGACGTGACGTGACATGACACGAGAATCCGCATTGTCGCGACCGTGGTAATCGCGAGGGCTGCGCATCGGAAGAGAACGGGACCGAAGGTGCCGCGAAGGATACGCGAGCGTCGAGCTTATTTACTTTCACAACATGAACGCGGTGCTGGCGGGCGCGTGTGTCAGTGACTGTAAGTTATGGCTGCGCGTACAACAAACATCAGCTCAAGTGGCGTTATCGCGCAACTATGCGTGTGTAGGACGAGCCCCGTAATTACGACCAATCGGACATCCTTTCGATTTCGAGTGCCCTAATCGAACGCCACCGTGTGACAACGCGCCAAATTAGATTGGCGCGTGATTCAAAGTTGAGCTTGCTCATACGTTGTCTCTCAGTGTATTTCATGTCTATTTTTTGTGTAATGCCAAAGGTGAAAGAAAAAGAAAGAAAAATAGAGAGGAAGAGAGACCGTTATACTAAACTTTTTTATCGATAAAAGTGCTTCTAAATGATTTGTAAACTTGTGGATTAACCTATGAGAAAATGTCGAGGTACTTTTATGGATATGAAAGAGAGTTCAGAATAAGGGTCAAAGAGAAAAAATATAAACAGAGATTTCCCCGTACGGCGAGACCCCGGTTTAAACTGGTTTGCATCATAAATTCGGCGTTAACCAAATCTGCATGAGAGATTATCGCACGTCGAGCACTGACGCGACGCTGACGCGCGAATTAAAGCCGGACGAGTTTGACGGCGATAGAGTAAAACGCCAACCGGGTCGGACACGAGACAGAACCGCGTAGGTGTCGGCGACGATGATGGAGTGAAAAATGGACATCGCGAGGAAACGGACATACGGTAATTCATTCGACGTGGTAAACGAGCTGAAAGCACGGCGCGCGGAGGTAATTAATTGCGCTCACGCTTAGCGCGTACCGATGGCGACTAGCTGTAAATTCACGTGATGGAAATGCTCGACGGGGCGAGTTTGGACGTGTGCTTTCTATCGCGTGTGCCTCAGCCTCTCTAGGCCGAGGTTGAGCGCAAGTTTCGAATAAGCTACGATCGTAGACATAGCCGCGGGCGTTAAATTATTAATCGACCCGGAAAGAGAGTTCGAAACGCTCACGGATTCTAAGGATTGTCAGTGGCCGGCGCTTAGCGCATTCTTCACTTTCAACATGTATCTTTAATAAATTAAAATTATATATATATATTTTTTACATTTATATATATAATATTCTCTATGTGTGCAAAATCTCTCTCGCTTCACCTTCTTAACCATAAAAGAACCCAATGATCCCAATGTATACGATGAAACTAATACAAGAACTCGTGTTCACCTGCAGGTAGCAGGGAGGCAGCTTTCACGTACGCGATAAGCTCGGCTGGTGTCACATACGCGGTTACCGCGGCTTGCAGTCGCGGCAACATCACGGCCTGCGGTTGCGAACCTGCAGTCAGGTAACTGTAAATAAACCGTGAGCCCGTGACGCGGTGCACAACGCGTAAAACTGCTATCAAACGATAATCGTGTCGTTTTTGCAGGACAAGGAAGGAATTACCGCCGAACGGCTGGGAGTGGGGTGGTTGCAGCGCGGACGTCACATACGGGATGAGGTACGTTGATCGAGACGATCGCTAATTAATCCGTTCCCGACGCGTCCTCACGCCGGCTTCAACGACGCCACGTGGCGAGGCGCTTAGACACGCGTGAATTTTAATATTATAATTTAATACTAGGTTCGCGCGCAGGTTTCTAGACGCGAGGGAGATCGAGGGGGACGCTCGAAGCTTGATGAACCTTCACAATAACAAGGCCGGAAGAAAGGTAAGGAAAAGCGAGATGATCGATGTTCCCGAAACGCGTATAAAACCAACACAGCTTTCTCTAGCGAATGGAACAGGCCAAAGGCCGCGTAATACGCGCGGGCGTTCAAGCAACAACTGTGTAATGAGCGTCATAATTGCTGTGAAGCAATACTAATTACTGCAACTCGCGGGGAAAATCGTTTAGCGCGATGATTAGGCATGACGCGTGTACTGGCCGCCTCTCAATCATTACGTCGTGTCATATAATTGCACGCGATTTCAACATTATTGGCATCGTATTGTGCATTGAGGGAAAGAAACATCTAAGAAATAAAAAATATCTATTCGATGAGTACTAATAACATATTTGTTTAGATCTAAATTTTTTTTTAATTAAATGGTAAACAATTGTTTTCGTGAAGAACCACATGGAAACATTTCACTGCCGCAAAGACAACCGTTTGGTTTGCTGAAAATATATATATTTATTAAATATATTTATTGCTGTAACTAAAGGCTTTGCTGCTGCTCGATTTCACAGCTAAATATGTACGCCTATTGGCAGCTGTACTTTCAAGTATCTATACATTGCAACGAAATTTAGCAGCTACAAGTAGATTCTTACTGCCACAGTTAATTTCCTTCTCGTGTAGTTTTCAGAAAATTTTCTTATTTGAAAAATATTTTATATTAGCGTAAACAAATAGTTGTTAGTACTCGAATCAATATTTTTTATTTCTTGGATTTATTTATTTTTTTCTCTCAGCGTACAAACTGCGGACAAGCGTACAAGCGGATAACAGTTGCAGCACGTCCTACAACTGTTATCCAACTCGCTTCGTACGCGAATATCTATGTTTGCGGACTCGTGATGAGTTATCCACGTCGTCTAGAAGTCCGATTCTATATAGAGATGTACGCGGAAATCTCAGAACAGATAATAGCACGCGACGGAAAATTCATGGTCGGATAACGAGGTGGTAATACCGATAATGAGGCAAACACCTCGCTCGAGCCAGACGCTATCAAATTTGATTTATCGCTCTATAACCCACACGGGGAACCAATCACCCTGAAGAAGACAATGTCGTCGAATAGCGATTCACGCAGACATGCCTTGTTCACCTCGCCCGTCGTCTTCGACGTTTCAATCATGCCTTAACGCGAGATCGTTACGTGGATAGTCATATGGCGAAATTAATATCCTGTGGCATCCTACTTTCAAAATCCGCGCGAATCAAACGACTTCACGCACATTAAATAGATCGAGAGAAGAAATAAGGTGAGAGATTTCTAATGTATCGAGGACTCGAGACTCCCAAATTTATGAAAATTTCACGTTTCTCTTTTAGATGATTATCGCGTAACACAGAAGATTCGTTGATCGGGAACGCGACATTTATGATAAACGATCGCGTTATGACACGAGATGGGCAAGGGCGGTGCCTTAATTGGGGAAAGTTCGTCGAGCTTTCGCTCTTCTTCGATGGGCTTTATTGCGAATTGGTTGTAAAAAAATTCATATGGTATACCAATGTGCGTGCGTGCGTGCATGCGTGCGTGCGTGCATGCGTGCGTGCGTGCGTGCGTGCGTGTGTGCGTGCGTGCGTGCGTGCGTACACACCTGTGCTTGCTCGGACTCACGGGAGGCTAACGATTTATTCTTAAGGTTGATCATCTCGGCATGCCGCATATTTTATACCCCGATGATTTTTTAACTTCTCTCTTGCATGCGGCACCGGGATAATTCGAAATGTAAACCAGTTTCCTGCATGCACGTACGTATCGTCCGTCCGAACGAACACACAATAAGGCCCCGCTGCTCGGAAATCGAACTCGACCGCACAGGAATTTACAGATGATCACTCGATACGATTACGATCGTTTAAGATCATTCGGTCGGTTGTTCGAGAGTTCGAACCAAGACACGCGTCTCTCTCTTTCTCTCAATGGCGTACGCCAGTGGTGTGGTTACGCGATCATTTTCAAGGAACATTGTATTCTGATACTTTGACCGCCTTAAATAGGATCGTTCACTTCTAAGAGCCCATTTTTCTCTATAATTCAAATTTGGATTTAAGCTCGAACTCTGTTCTAACAATATGTACGATGTACTTGAACAAAATTTATGCGGACAATTGGATACTGTTATATTTCAAAGTTCCAAAAACATAATATTATCTACACTGAGAAAGAATACTTAAAAATTTCTAAGATATAAAGTTTACTTCATAAAATAATCCCACAGAATAACTTATATCCCACGAATAAATTTTCGAGTATTTTTTCTCAGCGTAACGTCATAATAGAATTGTAATTTTTAAATATGCATTCTTCATTTGATTCTTTTTTTCATTTAAAGTGTAAAAGGGTGTTGTAAAAATATAATTGCACGAAACACCCGCGAATGAATTATTCGTAACATTCTGATCGGAATTCTACGCCATTGAATCCCTTTGTAATGGACTGATGCGTATCTCCTTGTCCTTTAATAATGATTCAGGTATCGGGCTATGCATTCGTTTTCATCGGGCGCATTATAAGTTCTCGTTCTCTGATCAGAGGCTGCAGTCGCAGATTTGAAATTTGCATACGACACGCGTGTATGATGTAAGAAACAAATCGTAGTACATCGTGCCGAACACATTGCAACCGTATATCTCGTTGCGTATAAGTCGTAATCTATAATTTCAATATAATGTGGGATTCATCTCGACTTTGCGCAATCTTTGTGCCAATGTTTGTTCTCTTTAAATTATCAGAGAAAAATCTCTCTTTCAATTGAATGGAATAAATCATATATAACAATATAATTGGAATCTCTTTCAGTTTTATCTCATTTTTCATACAGCTACCGATTCGATATTCCTCGTCGTTTTATCTGGGAACATTGGCGAAAAACTTGCACAAGATCTGAAAACATTTGTGAAGTGAGAATCATGCGACGATTATTTACGGACATTATGCTATTATTAACGCGAACATGTTCCTCTTTGCAGATAGTTAAAGCTCTTCTACAGACGGAATGTAAATGTCACGGTGTATCCGGATCGTGCACCGTGAGAACATGTTGGAGAACGTTACCTAGTTTTCGCCAGATTGGCGACGCGCTGATGAAAAAATATTACAGAGCTCGACCCGTCATCGCCGTTACACCGCCTCCCCCTCCCACGGTACAGGTAACTCTCACTTCTAAACATCTACCAGCTGGCCGATTACAAACGTAATCAACTTGATATCGCGTTTAACATTACATTTCGTTCTTGGAATAATTTGACGGAAAGTGCTGTTTTGAGTTTTTAACAAATACGCACATTCTACGTGATTAATTTGCAGACTATGGACACGCTATCGCATTCCATGTCACCGGAAATGGTGCCCATACTGGGCAACGATGCCAAAACTCAGGGCAAGCCAAGCGATTTTGCAAAGTCGCGGCACGATCGGCAGCCCACGAAAAAGACCACCAAGCCAAAGAGGCCGCACTTGGTCCTCAAGAGGACGAAAGTGAGCGGCGGCCCTGGTATGGGTATGAAGAGGATTCCAAAGAGAAGCGAGCTAGTTTTTCTACAATCCTCCCCCAATTATTGCGAGCCGGATCTGGCTCAGGGTAGTCTCGGCACACAGGGAAGATATTGCAATCGTACTAGCAAAGGTAAGAACCCGATAAAACAAAAAAGGAAAAAAGAAAAGAACTTTATCGCGTTACATGTTGACGATTCTTTAAAGAAAAAATTTCAAATTACAGTTCTCATTATCCTTAGGCTCTTACCCTGTATTTATTCGATATCTCGAATTAATTTATTGTATTTTATTTCATACCTTCATTTTCTTTACTTCGATATTCAGTCAAATTTTTTAATGACGAGGCAATCTGCTTTAGTTAGCGTCACTCGTGCTTACTTCTATCACAATTTAGCTCGCGCGTTGAAGCTCTTCTAGACAATTTTGTATCCATCAGCTTGTTATTGTGCAGGTAAAGAGGTATATCTGCGAAATATGAAGGCCACGACGTTAATTGCAAGACAAAATACAAGATCATTAAATTTTATTCAATGTTGCGAACGATCCCGGACTGAGAAATCTCTGTTTTGACTAATGTTTCTATGCTACAAAAGAACTCACCTATGTTTTCAGGAACTGACGGATGCGACTTGATGTGCTGCGGCCGCGGCTACAACACACATCAATTCACGAGGACGTGGCAATGTAGGTGCAAGTTCCACTGGTGCTGCCGTGTCCACTGCGAGACCTGTACTGAACGAACTGAGGAGTATACGTGCAAATAACAATATAAACGACGCTCGAGGTGTTTATGTAAACACAAGTATAACGAATATCTCAATCCGGACAACACAACACCCCGACAAAAAAGGACAAACTGACTTTACGCGCGAGACTACTACCAGGTGTAGAAGTATGAAACCGGAATTCCCCTATAAATGGTGCCAGCGTTCAGTTTAGTGACCGTAAGACCGCTACTGCCGCGCTATTATATTCTCCTAACAGCTGACGAATATTGTCAACAAACATAACCCCAACTTTCATTCTCTAGTATATTTTTGTATAACCTTAAACATGTCACGTTTCGAGCCTACTAACTATGATTTGCGGACAGCATTGATTTTCTGTTATCATTTAAAGAAAACTGCTGCAGAATCACATCGAATGCTTGTCGAAGCTTACGGTGAATATGCTCTTGGTAAATCTCAGTGTTTCGAGTGGTTTAAAAAATTCAAAAGTGGTGATTTTGACGTGAGGAACGA